CGTGCCGTATTCCCACACTGGGAAGCAAGGTCACCAAAGGGCACCGTGGCAGAGGGATTCCAGCACACGCTGCTTTCCTAATATTGTGCTTGAATTTCCAGCTCCCCCCATTCGGTCCTGCTGGGAGGGCACCTTTCCCAACCAGACCCCTTAGCGCCTGTACCAAGAATCAGGGCGCAGTGACGGCAGCCGTGCTCACTAGCAAGATTTTTTCCATCCCTTGGGGACTGTCCGAAAGGGAAATAAGGCAGGATCAAGAGATTAGCACGTGGGGTTCACATCCACAGTTTGGCCCTGTTGGCATATTGTAATATGGCCCAGACGCTTGGGAAGGTGCTTGATGTAAGCCAGCATGACTGACATCTCCCCATACGGGATGTGAAGGCTGTCAGATCTCAGGTTATTGAGTGTCCCACTTAGTGACAAATATATACACCAGCTAAGTAGGGCACAGAGCTCCGGCTTCACCCTGTCTGAGCTCAGTCTGGAATCACAGCTACAGTTTTCCAGGCCCCTGTGACCACCTGTGTAGTGGCAGCACTGATTTCAAAGAGCTGTTCCTGCAGAAGGCCTCTGTTCCCTTGGAATCCAAGGGGATAACTGCTCCAGCAATTATTTCTAGGTTCTTTTTGCCTTGCCCCATTGAAGGATCTTGCTCTGTATTCCATTGCTAGGCTAACAGCTCACACTGCATACAAGACCTCAGCAGGAGGAGGTGGTGGGGGGTCACCCCACCACCAGCACCGCATTGTGCAGCCTGAGCTCCTGCATGGGGAGGGGGCTGCACCTCAGGGAGCTCTGGAATCAAAGTGTGCTCTAAGTGGAAGAGAAGACTTTAAGTGACATAAAACTGTAGACTCGTTAAGGTTGGAAAAATCTCTTAAGATCACTGGCACAGGTTGCCCAAGGAGGCTGTGGATCCCCATCCTTGCAGGCATCCAAGGCCAGGCTGGATGTGGCTCTGGGCAGCCTGGGCTGCTGGTTGGTGACCTGCACACAGCAGGGGGTTGGAACTGGAGATAATTGTGGTTCTTTTCAACCCAGGCCATTCTACGATTCTATGGTCATTAAATCCAGCCACCAACCCGTCACTGCCATGCCCACACAGAACCCTAGTGTTCTTCTCCTGCCTGAATGATTCTAAAATCATCTGGTCCAACCATCAACACACCGTGTCCACCCATAGAACCACAGACTCAGTCATTAAGGTTGGAAAAGCCCTCCAGGATCATCAAGTCCAGGCATCAGCCCACTGTGCCCACTCACAGCATCACTGAATCCTTCATTTTGGAGAAGACCTCAAACATCTTCCATCCCCATCGTGCCCACCGAGCTGCGCCTTCACAACAAGTCCCCTGGGCTGATGGAAGCAGGGCAGCACCCTGTCCTTTGGATTCAGCTCAGGAAGAATTAACAGGGAACAGCGCCTTGAGAATAAAGAACAGGTGTTAGTCCAGACTCAGGCTCTCATGCCAGGCAAGGATTATTTTATTATAATTAATATTCTTACTTCTTATAGTTAATTACTGGCTGAATCTCAGTGCTGCAGGACTGCCTCCATCTGCACTCCAGATGATGCTGCACACTTGGAAATGCGTTGTTAGAGCCCAGCAGCTTCTGCAGATGACTGACTATGCAGCCACCAGAGCTGGGGGGGATATTATGGCCTCGCAGTGAAATCTCCTTGCAAGCTAATCCCTGCAAACTGCTCTGGTTGTGTTTGCCACCTCCTTTGTTCGTGAATATTTGGTAGAAAAACATTCCCTCGCAAATAAGCACTCGTGAAAAGCAAACAAGTCCTAATTACTCGTGCAAATATTCTCATCTGAATGCTTATGCAAATACACGTGCCCACGTGAGGTCCGTATCAAACAGCCATGAATATGCATCTGCATGAGAAAACACACAAGGTGTGAAAGAAACCACATTCTGAGTGTCCTTCATTGGCTTGGAAAGGGAGCAGAAGGGAAAGGCTCTCCTTGGGATGCAGCTGAAGCTGGGCTCACAGGGGTCAGGCCATCAAATTACACATACTGTTTTCTACAAATATTAATATTAATTAATAGGATTTCAGGGAAAGTGATTGGTCAGCTTGGAGTAAAATCAGTGGGTCAGGAGATAACGATGGTTAATTAAAGCAGAAACACCCAGAATACATTCTTAGGATCTAACATGATGCTCACAGAGAACCAATGGAGTGACTGTAAGGACAGAGCACGATGTAACTGTGCTTGTGATTATAATTATAATTCTGGATAGCAGCGTGCAAGCAGGACACAGATCTGTGCTGTATACACGCACTTAGTTCCAGGTGCAGTTGCTCTTTCCCTGTGGTCACAGCTTTAACGTGCTGAGGATTTGCTGAGGTTTCTCTTTGGTCACCCAGCACGTGCTGAGCTGCCTGCATGAACACAATTACTTTGCACAAACGTTAAACAGGGGGACACCAAAAAGAAATCCAACGAGAAACATCGCCCTGCTTTCCTGTGCTCAAGTCTCATCTGAAAACCCATCTGAGATCCTTCAGTTTTTCATTCTGAGATGACGGATGTGTTTGTCTAAACATCTGTGGTAGCTGGTTAACAGGATCAGGCCAGCATTAGACTAGACCAGATAGAGATAATCTTTTCCAGCCCAATAACAGCAATAACATTAATGCTTAAATCCTCCTCTTCAACTCCATTTCTCACCCAGAATGCTACCCCCAAACCAGGCAGTCGCACCACCAGTCCTGCTGCTGCATAGAATGGCTTGAGCTGGAAAGGACCTCATCATCGTGTTCCACCCCCTGCCACAGGCAGGGCCACCAACCTCCAGATCTGGTAGCAGACCAGGTTACCCAGGGCTCCATCCAACCTGGTCTTGAACGCCTCCAAGAATGGAGCATCCAGGCAAGAAATAAGAGATGTTTCATAATTTTAGAAGTATTTCCTATAATTGGTGGATGCATTTCACAGGGCTGCTGAGAACAGAAGGAAACACCAATGAACGATTCGATACTGCCACAGTAATTTAATGTGTTGATGAATGCCTGCCTGATTTGCTACCTTTACTGGAGGAAAGCTGGTGGGCACACTTCTCTTCCAGATAGCAATTTTCCTAGAACAGACAGGAGTTTAATGGGTTTTCAGGAAAAACTTCTATACAGAAAGGGCTGTTAAACACTGGCATGGGCTCCCCAGGGAGGTGGTTGGGTCACCACCCATAAATATGCTTAAAAACCATTTGGATGTGGTGAAAAGGACCTGATTTACTGGTGGGTTTTTAGAGTTAGGGTAGCATGGTTAGGTTGAGGTTGGACTTAATGATCTCGAAGGTCTTTTCCAACCTGAGCAGTTCTACGATTCTACGATTCTACACTGATAGCAAAAAGCTTCCAACGCTGGGAAAGGAAGAAAGAAAAGAGGCAAAGACACCACGCTGCTGCACAAAGCCGAGTCCCCAGGTCATCACTGTTAAATATGACCACAGATTGGCGAAGCAAAGACGAACGTCCCAGACAAACCACTTGTGCTGCTCAGTCTCTTCTTTCTTTGTGACGGCGCTTTGATTTTCCTCCCCTTGACTACAGATCACACAGTGCACCGGGTCATCCTTACAGCACATCAGAGTGCGGGGTATTTTCCAAATCCTGTGATGAGAACGTCGTTAAAATGCTGGCAAATGAAGTCTGTAGAGATTGACTGGGATAAAGCACGTGCAGGAATCCATTCACCACCACCCCGCGGTGACAACGCAGCCACGATCGGAGCGAGGCAGCCGAAGGCACACGGTGACTCTTTAATGACAAGCATCAATTTAATTTGATTGCTGGGAATAATGGAGCGTTGCATTCCCTCCACACATTTCAGTGGATTTGAGCACAGTTCATTGGAAGGGAGGCGTGTTTTTCCCTGGTGCTCCCTCTGCAGTTGGAGATTGACGCCCAGCTGCAGTGCTGGAGCCAAGAGTGGGGCGGACGGACGCACGGACCCGTTGGGGTCCCGATACTCCTCTTGGGGCACTGGTTTTGCCATTTGTTTCACTGCTTCATGGCAACACTCTCGCCCACTTTGCCCACCCACAAAGACCAGAGGGGCAGTTTTGTCAGCAGTCCCACAAGCGTTGTGCACCAGCCCCCCCCTCCATCTCAGCTTGCACACAAGTGCTGCAGAAAAGGCTGAGCGTGTGCTTGGGACGTGCTGCACATCTGTCAATAAGTCATGAGCCCTTGGACAGCGGTGTTTCTTGTCAGGAGCATGTCAGAAGGAAAACATTTGCTCCAAAAATCACTGTATCTTTCAGAATCCCTTGGAAACAGGCAGCAGTCACACAAGCGCTTTCTTTTGGAGGGGTAAAAATCCCCTGTACAGCGCATGGTTTTCCTTTGGATCTACGTTTCCACAGTGCTGTCTGTGCAACCTCAGACATCGTCCCGTTCCTCTAAATGCCTCCTACTGTTCACTCCCATTCCAAGGCAATGTAATTTTCCATCTCATCCACAGAATGGTGCTGGTGAGGTCAGCTCTGCTGCACCTCCAGGGATGCTCCCACGGAGCGCTGTCTCAGCGTGATAAGAACCCACGCAAGAAATTCCCTGCACAAAAAGGAAAGGGAAGAGCAGGAGTCCCAAGCGCAACACACAAGCTGTGCTGATCCCTCAAAATGGGACTCCATCACCCTCCATGAAAAGGTTTGGATCGGATGGTGGGCAGCTGGACTGGATGATCTCGCAGGTCTTTTCCAACTTCGGTGGTTCTGTGGTTCGATGAAAAGCAGGATGATGAGCGAGCACCTCGATGCACAGAAAGCAAGAGTGCCCAACGAGGAGGTTTTACAGCCTTTCGAAAACAGGGCCTAGAAATCAGTCTCTGCTGAAACTTTAAAATATTAGATCTCAAAATTAAAATGTAAATCTGTAAAATTAAATCCCAGATGCCTGAAAAGTTTGGAAAACAAAGAAAATCAGATGACACGATGACCGTGGATTGGAAGGGACTCGCAGAAACACCCCCCAAAAATAATAATAAAAGACACCACAAAGCATTCAAAACCAGATGGCAGCTTTTCTTTTATTATTATTTTGCAGCAGTTTTGCAGTGTGTGAGTGAAAGGCAATATTCACTTTCAGTTTCCAGTAATTCCTAGAGCTCCCCGCAGGCAGCATTAGTGTCATCCACTGCAAACAATGTGATATTTTCAGAGCTGAAGACATTTTTCACTCGCACAGATCCTAACTTTTTCAGCACACCTCGTGCCCTTTCATTGCTGTGCTGCAAATAAACAGCACGTAATGGGAGAATTTCCTTCAAAGGTACAACAGGCGAGTTCAAGCGTTCAGCTGGAGGAATCACTGCTTCCAAACACAAATATAACCTGATGAAATGGTTGTTTGCTCAAGAAGAAAAGGAGCACTGCATGGCAGAGCACGAGAAGCACCTCTATTGGTCAGTGATGCAGACACCCAGCTCCTGAAGCTTGTGGAGAAATTCACCCATGTCCTTCTCACTGTCTGACTTGAGGTAGTACGTGAGGTTGTGGTTGGACAGATGCAGTGTTTTCGAGTTGACAATCCGTGCAGTGGCGTTGTGGAGATTCATGCTGCCCCGGATAACGATGCCAATGTCATCTCTGTCCCTGTGATGTGTGAAAGGAGTGAGAAAAATGCCAGGGAGCAAAGCACCGCCTCGACTCCCGGCTGGGAACGCCTCTGCCCCGCTGCAGCGAGCTCTCTGCTTTCCCTGCAGGGCGCACGGAGTTCCAGCCCGGTTCCAGCCCCGCTGGGCTCTGCCCAGGGTCAGCCCCTTTGTCGCTTCCCCTCTCCAGCGACTTACCAATAGTAGTGGAGCCACGTGTCCTTAATTTCAAAGCAGCGATTCTGGTACCAAAATATATAATTTGTCCATTTCTTGAAGTGAAAGACTTCTGTGTCCATGGCTGTGGGGATGGGGTGGGCTAAAAGCGAAAGCTTTTACAAAGAGAAAGAGAAAGCAATTTTTTTTCTTAAAGGGATCACCCAGCAATAGGTCATAGGATGATAGAATGGTTTGAGTGGGAAGGTGCCTTCAAAAGCCATCTGGTCTGAGTCCCTGCAATAAACAGAGACACCCGCAGCTCCATCCGTGCTCAGAGCCCCTCCAGCCAGAAAGGTGAGGCACCCCGTGGGCTCAGGAGCTGCGCTTCAGCTCCAAGGGCAGAGCAGCAAGCTGCCCCATCCACACTGAGCATTAAAACATCACAGAGTCAGTCTTCAGGTTGGGCTCAGTGGGTCCACGGCCAGGTGTGTGCATGGTGTGACACAGCTGCGTTGTGGCTCAGGTTGGAGATGGGAAAGGGCTCAGAAAACCTCGCTGGGATTAACCTGGGGAAGTTGCAGCCACAGATACTCCGAAGACTCGTTGGTAGTTCAGCTGGCTTCTACATCAGTGCTCTCGAATTGAAAAATTACAGTTTGCCATCTTGAAGGAGCTAATGTCACAAAAAGGAGAATGCTTTAATTGTCTGGAAGGCAAACTGCAGCGAAGACAGTCTGAGCAGAGGGCAGGTGCTTAATTCTGCCATCTGGCAGAGCTCCCACCGCGCCTCCATGAGAAGCAGAGATCTCCAAGGAACAAACTGCTGCTGCACATCCACCTTCTGTGCTGCCTGGGGAGCTGCAGTGCTGGGGAGAGACAGAAAACGGCCCGAGGTGGAGAGGATGCAGTGCAGGGATGAAGGTGCTGCCCTTTGCAGACATGGAGATGCTTCCCAGCTCTTGAACCTCTCCTGCCTCGCACTGCTGTTCTGCAGAGTGCTCCCAGCCTTCCCTATGGCTCTGCTCTGTGTGCCTCTTTGAAGAGTGTGAAATTCAAGCCTAAGAGAAACCTGTACTGTGCAGGCACGTTCCACACGAACGATGGAGAAAGAAGCTCCCATCTGACATTCAGCCCAGAGAGGGCTGATGGAGAAATATAGCAAAGAGAATCACCTCGTCTCTTAAATTCCATCATTCACAACACCACGCTATTCCTTAAGATTTTCTTGTCTGACTTTGCGTACTGAAATGGCTAAAATTAGCCACAGTCTCCTAATGAAGAGCCCCAAATGTCCTCAGGGGGATCTCTAGAAGGAGAGCAGCTGGCTGGTTGCTGGAGGAGAATGAAGAGTAGGTAGAACAGCCACTGCAGCCCTCTTAGGCCCCTGCAATGAATCGCTTGCAGCAGTCTCAGGCAAAGATCTCATGCAAGCAGGCTGACACAGACCTGAGATCCCTTTGCAGAGTATAAATGATACAAGAGAAGCAGAACCTGATCAGAAGTGCCCAGGATTCCAGCAAGCACAACATCCTGAATCATGTGTGGTTTCTGCAACTTTGGGATGTGGCCCACAGCCCTGGAGTTGCAGAAGAGAATATGGAATGAACAGCAAGAAAGCTTGATCTGAAATAAAGAGGGGCGATGTGGGTGTGAGTACGTGCAAGTGGGCAGAGCAACATCTGCTTTTTGAGTAACGGGTAATGTGTAAAGTGGCCAAGAAGGGCAGAGGCTGAGGGGGAGCACCAAGCAAATAATTAAGATAGCAACAGAGGGAAAAAAGAGATGGACGGGATAAGGGCATCATCCCGATGGCAGCACATCCCTCTGCTGTGCTGACCCGGCAGGACAAGGAGCTCCTTGCTCGCCCTGCTCCGTGCAGCACAATCCTGCAGATCACTCTGCAGTAATGAGCTGCAGCGCGCGGCTGGGAGTGGGGAAGTGGAACAGGAGGAGAAGCTAACGAGGTCAGAAGACAGCAGGTGGCATCGCCGTGAGGAGAGGGGAGAGGATTCACAACCTGCTGCAATCGCAGCAGCACCTGCCTGGGATGGAGCCCCGGGGCTGGGAGAGTGAAAGGAGGGGAGGGGGTTCGCGCTGCACCACAGGGCTGCGGGTCTTTCTCCGCTGTTTGTTTCACACACTAATTAGGTCAGTGCTGCCCTTATAGGAAACCCGAGGCTGGCCTGTGCTCCAGCTTGCAGGATCGTGGTGGGCAGGGCAGTGATGGGCTGGAAGCCTGCACATGTGGTGCATTTCACCTCTGCGTTTGCCCTCAGTTCTGGAACACCGAGCTGCTGCGTAAAGCAGTGCTGAGAAATACTGCAAAACTGGGGCAGGCCATAACGTGGTCAGCATGGAGGAGAGATTGAAAAGATCCATCGCTGCCCAACACCAGCACCACCACTCCCAGGGGTTCTTCAGAAGGAAAAAGACAAAATCAAGATAACTTACCCTGAACTTGACTCGCAATTTTGTTTGACAGCATTATAAAAGCATAAGCCCTAGATCCTTGGGTACTGAGGTATGAAGCAGCTTGCAGAGGGAAGAAGAGAGGGCATCCCTTCCTGCAGGGACTGTTACACCGCTCAGCCCCATGAAACCCTTCCTGGCCTCTCTGGTTCACAGAACACAGGTGTGACACAATCTCTTGGTTCCTATATCCACAACTGTGTTATTATTAAAGGGTCGGGATGGCAGTAACTCCCAGGTCCTACCATTGGAGGAGCAATTCTGGATCCTTGGTGCAAGAGCCGATCCCCAGGGACAGGGCTGGCATCACGCAGCGAGTCCCCATGCAGGGAGCTGCCCTTCCGTTATACATGTCCACTGCAAGAATCCCTCTGCACCTGAGGATGTGGATGACAGATGGCAGTGTGATGAGAGCTGCAGCCATCGCTCCTGCAGTGTCCAAGGTCCGGCCTCGTGCTGCTGGCAGCTCACACCGCTGCAGATGCTGGCTGGGAGCTGCCCCACGTGCACTCTCTGATCTAGTCAAGGACCACGGCTGAGCAATGGGTCTCCTGGGCACCACCTCTCCCTTTCATGAGCTCTGGAAGCCCTCTAGGCACAGACCCGGGGCTCCAGTGCAGTCGCTTCAAACCTCACCCACTCACCCGTGCTGCTTTTCATCTGGTGCTGGTTTGTTCAGCCTGTCCCTAACAAGTGACCCGTGAGGATTCCGGCAGTGTTTGTGCTACCGCTGATTAGCAAACAGCCGTGTGACCTGCTGAGAAAATCTAAGTCAAGTCCTTGTCTAGCTGCTGACCCATGTAAACAGCAGGAATTACTGCTCCAGCTGGAGCGATGCGGGTCTGAGGTCAGGGGATTAAGCTACAGGGAGCGAGGGCTGCTTTGCTTCTCAGTGACAGCCTCTGCACAGAGGCTGAGTGACTTCCATGCGCAAGCACTAACTTCCTGGCTCTGGTAGATGAGCCATCCTTGGAGACAAGCAGGGAGCATCCATCTGTTTGATCTGCTCGCCTCATGGGTCTGGGAAACCGGCAAAGGGTGCAGGGCAAACAAAAGGAGCTTAGAGAAGAAGCAGAGTGAGAAACAATGGGGAAGAGACGTGGCACCCAGCACTTGTGCTGCAGCAGCAGGAGGCACCAGAGCAGCGGTGAGTGCAGCGCAGTCACTGAGGGCAGTGGAGCATCGTGAACACAGTGTGACAATCCTGCCTTTCCCACGCAGGCAAGGCCACAGGCACCGGGCTCAGTGTTCTGCTCAGGTCTCTTGAATGCTTGATTCCACCAAGTTTGCAGTGATGCCTCTGGCTGAACCTTTCATCCTTTGGATGCTTGGAGGAAATTGTTCTAGCAAATTGGCATTCAGAATTATCCAGGTTGTCCTCAGTGCTCAGGCAAAGACCTGATCCGTACACGCACACTGCCATCTCTCTCAAAGGTGATGCTGCATCAAGGAAAGAAAAAGAAACCATCTCTGCTCTTCCTGTGACCTCTCCCCTTGTTCCTCTTGAGAGGCACACGTAAAGCTCCCTGCCCAGGAGAGACACCTGTACTCATTGGTATCATTGGGGTTACATGGAATGGGAGGCGAGGACACAAAACACAGGGGATTTCTGCCGAAATTGATGTTTTCTGAAGAAGTCTCCTCCTCTGCGGCCATGGCTGGGAGCTGGCTGCCGTGACACAGCTGCTCCTGGCACAGTGCATTAGGGAAAGAGTCCCAGATGTACTGGGGCTGAGGTGACATGAATAATAGAGGAGTTCTGAATGAGCAGTTTGTCTGCACCTCCAAGACCCTTCCAGCGAGGGTCCCGTTTTGTAGGGTGCCCCCAGCGGAGCTCCGGCAGCATCTCACCACCCCAACTCCAATCCCTCCCCAAATCCAGGGCACAACGCGGGTTTCTCCTTTGTCTCTCTCCCATCTGCTCTGTAAGCTGATCGCCCACAGCAAGTGTCTCTTACATAGTGGAAACCCATCCTTCCCCTGCTCTGCTGCCATCTCTCGTGCCTGCTGCCTTGTCTCGGTGTAGATAATTTCCTAGCTTCCACTCATCTGGGTCGCTCATCAATTTAAACATGAGTTTGAAGCTCTCAGCTGCGCTGCCTTGCCCCATCAGCACACACACACAGGGTTTGCTTCTGCTCAAGATAAGCAAGCAATTTCTCTCTAAAAGTTCTTTGGGAAAGCTATGGTGTACAGCAACGAGCCTTGCAACACTCCCAGCTTCGACTGCTTTGTGCCTTAGTATCATATCCCTTTGTTATTCACCTAAGCACCCCGTAGTTAATTGCAGAGCTCACACTTTTTCTTGGCTCGCTTGCTTCCTGCTGCTTCATGATTCATTACTTGTCAATGAGTCTGCATGGTTCCCCTGGCAAAGCTCATTCCGAGCTGTGCAGGAATCCTCCCCTCTGCCCTTTGGCGGAGCTTTCGCTGCTAAAGCGTGTGGATGTACTGCTGAATTGCTGCTGAGGTCCAAAAGGTTTTGTTGACCCTGGAGCAGGGCCCCAGCTGGTCCCTGGGCAATGGTTTGTGCTCAGCTAAAATGGACTGAGAAGGTCCACCGCACCCTGGAAACAAAGATATTGTCGTCGTGTGCACAGCAAGCTTCTGCCTCCCAGGGCAGCAAAGCAGCACGGAGAGAATCTGTAAGAAAGCAAAACTCACGGGCTGAGGTAGTTCAATAGCACAGAAAAGGAATGA